CTGATCAAGTCAATTCGCTACGTTTGAAGTAAAAAGGAAGTCTTATTTCTACAATTTCCCGCAACGCCAACTTATTATGTCTTGTTTCTGCTGAGCGTAGCGACATTGTGTTGTTTTGGGGGAAAATATTTTCCGAGTTGAAAATTAAACGAGGGTTTGCAAAACTTGAGGATTTATTTTGAAATTTTACTCAAAAGCGATCTCCAAAATGACATCCCATTGTTTGGCGGGAAGATGTTGGGTTGCAACCTCTGCTGAGCGCATATGCGAGTCCCAGCCAGTGAATTACTAAGTTTTTGGCTGTATTAGGCAGTTGCCAGGTAGGAGTGACATATCACATTTGTTATTAATGATATTAGTTTCTTTCGGTTTATATCGGTTGTGGCTGCGAATTTCGTCCCCGTAACGACCGTTTGAAAAAAATTCAGAATGTTGATTAAGACAGTTACAAAAATGTTCGTAATTTTTCACGGAGAAGAGGCACTTTCAGCACTTTAACCGTAATTTAATATATTTTACTCTTCATTTTTTAATGTATTTATTGTAAGAAATTTGTGGATATTTAAAAATATAAATAAAACATTGCACTTTTTATCATATTAAAACTAATAGTATGGCACAAACTAATAGAATGGCACAGTCTTCCCCGTATAAGTTTTCTATTTCCTTTGGTCTCGGCTAACTATACAAATTTGATACTAATACATATTCTTGAGAATTACCGTCTATCGTCACCCAAAATACTTATTTTTAAAACTTTTCTTGAATTTTACGTTTTCTAGTAGTAGACCAGAAATCCTCTTTTAAGAATATAAAAATAAAAGTAAAACATCGTCCTAAATGGCTTTTTTTTGTTTCGGAGCCGTTTTTAAGAACATTGTAAATTAAAAAATTGAGACAGTTTTTCAAGAAAAGTTTTGAGTTTGGTTGACTTCATTAGAAGTCATTTTAACTCACATATATAATAGTATTTACAAATTGCGGGAAATGATCATACTAACAGCGTGAGAAATCTTTCAAAAAAATTGCATTTGTATAATTTTCGGAAAAAATATCCCGAAATGAACTTAACATCATATTAAAGAGTGCAATTAGTACTATCCGTATGAAAAGTTCGAAAAAAAATATGGAGCCGAACTTTTTTAAGAAAATGGGGCTTGATCGTTTCTGAAAATTTTGAGTTAGTTTTCATAGAAAACAGTTGAGTTTCCGAGAAACTTTATATGACACTATTTAAAACATATATTCATTAATACAAAAAGTGAAAAAATGTTGCTAGTGTAAATAATAAAGCAATATGGTAATTATGCCATCTTATGGAGCGCATTTAAAATAATCCCTACCAAAAATTTAAAGAAAAAATATGGAGCCGGTTTTGAAAAATCTTGTTTTTGTAATATTTTTTAATTGCACAAAATGCACCCAATATTGCGCGAAAATTAGTAAAATGTTCAAAACATGTACATGAACTTAATGAAAATAAATACTGGACCAAATATTTGTTTTCCAGGGGAAATTTATCTTTAATTTTGCAGTTGTAGAAAGACTGCAAAAAATTCAAACATTTGAAATTTTCGATAATTCCGTGTTAACTGTGAAAATTGGACCTATGCCATCTTTACCTATTTTAATCTATTCTTAAAAGAAATTTAAAGAAAAGAATTAGAGTCAGCAGTATATACCTTTCGCTATACTATGTTAAATTATGCTATGCTATATTATGTGTAGGTAATTTTTAATTATTTCAAGTTCTTAATATTGTGGCGTTATGGGATTGTGCAACCTCATAACACCACCGTCTCATATGTGTGAACACTACGGAGGCAGCGAGGATAACAGGCGCAGAAAACAGAGGTTCGTAAACGCGAGGCCTGGTATCCGTTGCCCGTACTAAACGAAGGCAAACTAGCAAGCAATGTTTTCCTTGTGAAGGGTTGAGAGAGGGGAAGCAGCCCCACCACTGAGAATTTCCCCAGGCGCCGCGCGATAGGAAAATTAATTGTACGCGAACCCGCAAGCGGAAGCCCTCTTTTTGATCACCGATCGCTGAGCCAGTAGCATTTTGATCACCGTTCGCCGAGTCAACTCTTTCGTTAACATTAGTTTAGATAAGAATTTGAGGACACGGATGGCAACAAATTGCAGTATTATAGTAGGAGACATTTTGATGCGCTATTGCCTGCCTAAAAACATTCTACTTAGGACATTTATTATTCTGCTATTTCAGACACAGTTAAATTGTAAATGAGAGTAGTGCATTTGCACACATTCTGTTCTTTGCATGTAATATTTTGAAGCAGGAGATTGTAAATTGAATTTTTGGTTTCATGTGCAATGTAATTAGAATATCATTAATTTAGATACAATTAATTTTCCTAGGGAATTCCCAGTGTAGATTAGGGTAATTATTTCAGAGTATCAATTTAGGAGTAAATTATGTGTTCATTCATATGAGTGTGTTGTAAAGGTCTCTATTTGTGTTTTGATCATTCTTTGTAAAAGTGATTCTATATTCTTGGTTTTTGTCATGAACTTATGCCACTAAAAGTTTATGGGTAAATTATACGCTCGTTTGTGTGCAATCTGTGCGATTTAATTGTGTCAAGGGTTCAAACCTTTCTCGCACCCAGAAGACCCTGCTCCCTAGATTTTTAAGCTCGCTTCACGAGCCAAATCTTGATAACCCGCTTACGGTTCATGCGTGCTGCTGTGAAGGTGGTAAGTTGTGTGGGTGTAGGTGGGTTAGCTAGAATATATTTCTTATGTCTTCTTTATCCATTCTCACACGCATTCACACATATATTTACAAACACATTCATTCATTCGTTCTTTTATACAAACACGCACACTTCACAACACTATTTACACTATGAACACTTTCTTAGGTTTGCCACGGCGCCGACTTCACTCAAGCGTCCGTGGCGTCGCGATGTCTTCGATTTCAAGCGACGCTGGCCTGGGGAACGCGTTTCCGCGCCGCCCGCGCGGCTTCCGGCACCCGTGAGCGGCGATCCCCTCCCATGCACTTGCTGCTCCCCCGCGTCGCAGAGCTCAGAGAGCCTGTGCAGGGGCAGTGCGCGGAAGGCGAAGGAGAAGTGATGTGGGCCCTTTCTTCTGTGGAAGGTCCTGTGCACGTCGCTGTTCCCCGCTTTGCCGGTCTCGCGTAGGATGCGCGGGGCGGACGGCCTCAGCGCCCTTGCGAGCGCCGTCTCCGCCTTCTGCCTCTGCCCATTGAGAGCTTTCTTTTAAATATAGCTAAATGCCCTTGACCGTCGCTGACTTCTCTGAACGGAGGCCCCATTCCACCTCAGAATCGGCTTGGCAGTTTGATCATAATTTTACTTGTTTACTTACTTGTATAGACTATATAATTTTATTTCACTTCACTTGAGAATAATACATTTGTTACATCACTGATTCAAAATTAGGTTCCAATTTTCACATTTTATATTTAAATTGTTCTAATTTACTTATACTCTAATTCATAATAATATTCTGTGATGTTTGATTATCTTCATTTTATTTATTTACTTATTTATTTGTCAAGACCATTTTAATTTTACTTCACTTGAGAAAAGTACAAGAGTTATTTCATGTAATCTTGATCATAATTAGATTCCCATTTTATATTTCAATTTTTCTAATTTGCTTAAATTCTATCTTTATTCATAATAATACTCTGTAATAGATTATATTTTATTTGTAATTTGGAAATTATTTTTTGTAGTACTGAACATGGCCGCAATGCGACCGAAAAGGCCTTTGTTGAAAATAAAATGTATTATTATTAACTTTGACCACTTGAGTCGTTCCACTTCACTTTTTACTGTTCATGGTCGACTGTCGAAGGTATCACCTTGAGGTGAGGATAAATCCTCGAATTACAATTCTGAATGTTATTCAGAAAGGTGATAATGAGAGATGGAGGATGATGGATGATAGGGGGTGAAAGGACGAACACAATACAACCATGCCCGAGGCGTGACTCGAACCCGCGATCTTCCGATACGAGATCGCTACGTCACTACTGCCTTAGCGATCTCGGCCACCGGATCGGCATAAATAAAATGTATAACAAAACTAAGGCTCAAATCTATAACAATCTGTCTGTTATTTTAAATTACAATTCGATGTTTTTAACATTGAACCTGAAATGATTGCAATTACATATTGTTTTAGATGTTTTATTCCAACAGCTGCTGTACTTTGACAGTCATTCACAATCAATTCTATTTAAATTTATTTTTGTTGGCCACTGTTAATTGTAAGTTTAGGAACTACTTTTTTTAAATGTTGTAAGTTAATATTAATAATGTTTTCTAAGTTGTATTGCTTCTAAACATTTAATATTGATTTTGAGAAAATAAAGTATGTTAACCTTTGGTAATTGAAGTAACTTGTTCAATAAGAAAATTCAATTCATAGCGACACTACTGTACTTCATATTTGATTTTCATGTTCACCAAATGGGTTGCAACTTCTCTCATTTATTTTGCATCTCACAGTTGAAAATTCAGTTCCAAACTCTTATATATGAACAAACCTTGACAAGCATGACAAGTATACATGTTCTCACTTCTCTTTTCGGAGCCAGCACACAGTTGACACTTGTGTTACACGTGCTGCCGTCACTGGTCAATCAGACCTAAATAAGTCCCATTCACAAGTCTAGTCCACTAACCATGCAGTTGTCATGGGGCCACTCCCTCCCATCCCCCTTTTCCCTCTGTGGGGGTCAAGGAAATGAGGTTTGGCAGGAGGGCAATAACACTAGCTACTGAATTTGAGTAATATACCTACTGAGAATAGCAATTTATCATCTGTAAAACAAAACTTCAACTAATACTTTTCTAATCTATTTTTTCTACTACTATTACTAATCTATTTTTTTCCCCTTCAAAACTGATCCAGGTTAAACAGGTATGTAATGTACTGTAAAACGTTGATATTCAAATACTTTCTTCTTATATAAATTTGGGTTGTTTTGGTGGTAAAAAATTTCAGAGTTGAAAATAAAAGGATTACAAAACTTAAGGATTTATTTTATAATTTTATACAATGAACATCCTGGTGTTTCTCAACCATAGAACATTAAAAATAAAAAATTTACTTTATTTACAATCTTTTAATACTTAATCACTGTTTTTGTAGTTCAGATTCTGAAACTGAGTTCTTTAAATCTACATTTATAAGGTGTGCACACGTTGGTTCACTTTTTCCTTGAAATTGTTCGATTCTTTCCTCTTAATTTGTTCCTACATCCAATATTACAGTGTAGAATTTGCAATGATTATCGGGTTGGCATTGATTAGCCTAGATAATTAACACTACTGTTTTTAAATCCTAGAACCTCAGAATTTTCATTTCCATCACAACCAATTTTTTTTTCAAAGATGATTCATTGATGTGCATGTGATATATTAAGAAAAGGTCAGATTATGTTGCATTTATTCATGAATTCAGTACCACACTACAAAAATTAAGTTAAAATTACTAAACAAGAATGGCAGCTAAGGATGCGATTGCTGCAGCAATAGTGGTCAGAGAGTTATAGTAGCAAGCAATGTGTTTATTTGAAATCATCATTAGATGTTAAGGGGGTAAACCAACATCTACCCACCAGGTTGGAGGCATCTTCATAATACGACTTGCATTTTTAACTTTTTTAACATGTATGCCTTTTTAACTTTCACAGTGCATTTTCAACTTTGTAAAATTAAAGAACAAAGTTTTTGTGTATGCAATTTTATTGTATCAGTCTGAATGTTATATAATAAATAAATATCATTGTTATAAAGTTCTACTGAAAGTCTATAGAAAAAAAAGAGAAAAATAATACTATGACATGAACTTTGAAAATATGGAGTTGGACGTGTCCCTTCCCATCCTTCCGGCAGAGACAGTGTATTACAGATCACACAACATATTTTTATTACATTTATCATACAAACTTTCATTACATTACAAATTTTATTGGAATGAGTGAGACAAAAAAATTCTAAAAATATTCGAAACAAGTTAATCTTCAGCCTTGGGGGTGGACGCAAAACGTGGCAAATTGTTGACAAAAGAAGGAGGGCTAGGTGAAATGTTTCCAGCCCGTCCTTCTAACTCCTCTTTCATATCTTGAAGTTTCTTTGGGTCAGTCAGAAAGTACACCCAAAGCAATCGCCGCCTCCATTCCCTAGGACTTAGGGCAATTGAAGTCTACACAGAACAATGCAAACTATTAGAATTAATAATACACTCTGGGTTGGACCAGTATCAAGATAAGTCCCCCACTTCACATAAATATTTTCAAAAAAGAAACTTCCTGCAACTGGTAAGGCTTATCTTGTTAGTGCACTAAGTCCTTCAAATATATTGCATCTCTTTGGTTCTCCTTATATTCACTCATAACTTACATTTAAATCTTCCCTCTCATCTTTTCTGGTCTGCAATGTTTCAAGTGATGCAGTAAATCCCAATGAGACTGGAGACAATTTCTCCATATTGAAATCTAGATCTTCCTCAATTCTGGATATATCTTTTTCAATTTCTAATAGTTGCACTTTACTAAATAAATACATTTTTTTAAAAAAATTAATTTAAATTTTAAAACACTGCACTAAATGAGTTATCATATTTTGTAAGTTAATTTGAAACAAACCTGCCAATTAAAATTTTTTTCTTCTCACTAATAGTTAAATCCAGCTCATATTCATATTTGGTAATGAAATCTTGCAAACTTTGTTCCTCTGTAGGAAAGTATTTCTTAGCCAATATCTGTAGCATTTGAGGATGTACATTTTTTTCAACTAATGGCATTTCAAATTTCTTCTTGTGTTCCTCAAGACTTGTCTAAAATGAATAGAATTATACTTCACTGACAATAAAAATGAAATGTTTTATAATGCATAATATGTTTTTACATTTAGAGAAAGGAGCTTTTCATATTTAAATATATATACAGTCCCTGGCCATATTATTAGACGCACTCCAAATTTTTAACAAAATGTTAAGTTTTGAAGTCTCTTATTGCAGTACATTACATCTGGCATAGTTGTGAATCAATCAATAAAAACAAAGCTTCTTTTTCTAATAATTAACACATTATTTGTCATAATGTACCATTGTTGTGACACTTCATTGTTACTTAGACGCACAAATTACATGAGTTGAGTAGAACAAGGGGGTGACATGAGTAGAGTGTTGTTACATGAAGATAGTTTATTTTCCATTTATTAGTTTGTGAAATAGTTATAGCCGTGTTTATTTAAAATTTGTGAATTAATGTATACTAAAAACTGAGAGTTTTGAATAAAAATAATGGGAAAGGCAAGTGATTTGTCTCATCGGAAGATCGCAGCAGTGAAAGCTCTTGTCGACACAGAAAATTATTCAAATCGTGAGATATCTCGAAGGTTGAACGTATCCAAGCCATCTATTCGGCGAATTAAGAAAAAAATTGTCCTTGGTAAAGAATTATCCCCACGAACGAAGAACACATGTGGAAGGAAGAGAATATTTTCACCAAGATCTGAGAGATGTTTGAGGAAGATTTGCCATGAAAACCGGTTTGCTACTACTAAACAAATTAAATTTAAATTGGAAAGTAGTGGAATCTGTGTATCTGAAAGGACAGTAAGGCGTACACTACTACAAATGAATTTTAAAGCTTGCAGACCAGCCCCCAAACCCAGATTAACAGCTGGTATGAAAGAAAAACGTCTTGCACGGGCTAAGAACGTTAAGAATAAAGATTTGGACTTCTGGAAATCGGTAAAAATTTAGTCTAGTGCTTTTTTCATAATTATAAATGGCTACCAAAATTAATTCTAATGTCATTTACTTGTATTTCAGGTTTGTTTTAGCGACGAATGCACTTTCGAAATTCTAGCAAACATCAATTTGTGAGAAGGCGCCCTGGTGAAAAGTATCATTCAGATTGTATCATCCAGACTGAAACATCCAGTCAAGGCAATGATTTGGTCAGTGATCAGTGGCAAAGGCACTGGGCGTCTGTACTTGGTCAAGGGCATCATGAAACAAGACCAGTACAAGCAAGTATTGGAGAAACGACTGCTGCATCAACTACAGAAATGGTTCACAAATGAAGAATCATTTGTTTTTATGCAAGATGGGGCTCCAAGTCATACTGCTCGCACAGTTCGATCATTTCTGTTAGAGAAAAATGTTCCTGTGTTACCATGGTCAGAAAATTCAACAGATATGAACCCAATAGAAAATGTTTGGGAGCTCATGAAGAGGGAAATCATAAAGGAAGAAATAACAACAAAAATTTGCCTCCTTGGGAAAATAAGTTTTTTTTATGAAAATTAGTGTATATATTATACTAATAGTCATAATTTTGCATATGATATCTTGTTTGTATTGTAAGTATTCAATTATTACTTATGTATTTTGTTAGAAATAAAAAAATACATTTTTCGTTGCAAAAACGTGATTTTTATTGAAAATTTAGGGTGCGTCTAATAATATGGCCAGGGACTGCTGTATATACACATAGATGTGTGTGTGTGTGTGTGTTATATATAATAAAATAAAAAACACCTAACAAATGGTTTGCAAATGTATTCCTGAGACATTGATAGATAACACACACACACATCTATGTACACACATTGTACAAGACTTTGTATTACGTTACTTTGCAATAATCTCAGGTAAATGGGCAAATAAAATACTACAATGGAAGAAAAATCTTGTAAAGCGTTTGTAAATCAAAGAAAAACTTACAATTCTCGCTTTCATGTTTGACATTTCTTGGTGAAAATACTCATAACAATATACTAGTGACTGATGTACAGCATCACGTGGTTGATCCCAAAGAACTTTCACAACATACATAAGGTCCACAAGAACTTGCAGTTTCTGAAGAATATCAATACACGTCTTAGAAGCAGCTACGCAAGTCTCTCGATGTGCTTTGATGCACTCAAGAACGTGCAATATTCCTTTTTCTTTAATTTCAAGCTTTGTTTGCTTATCAGATAAATTTAAAATATCAGAATAGTATGACTCCAATTTCTTTGTATCCAGGTCTTCGTTAACTGGGTTGCTAAGAAAAGAAATGATAATTCAATTTAGGGTAAATAACAAAATATTTTTTACAGAAAATATTAGACACAATAAAATTTAAACTAAAATCGTCAAATTAATAATTCTGAAAATGTCATCCTGTCATTCAACAAAATGATCAGTTTTAACATGTTCAATTATAATTAGTTTTAAATTACTTTTCATACTTCTGGAAAATATTTGTTTTAAAATTCACTGAAGAGAAAAAAAAGAGTTAATGACACATTGAGTTAGACATGATTTCACATGTGGAAAAATGTGTTTCCTTGAAACATATCTTTAGAAGAATAAATTAAGAGATAAAGAAATCTTTCCTTTGTATGTAAAAGATCCTGTGTGAAAATCTTGATATTTGTAATCTACAGCTTTTTTTCATTCACTCTATATCAGTTTTAGGTTTATATATATTTAATCCAAAAACATTTTGGTTAATGTTCTATAATGCAGTTTTTAAAATCAATTTTGAAGAAATATCATGGAAGTGTGCCTTTTGGCACGATCCATCTTCAAGAGAGTCCTTCCATCCCCAACTGGTCTGTCCCTACTTGTTTCCATTCAGGTTGTAGAGGATTTTTAGCATTCGATCTTCTCTTTAAAAGAACATGTCATTTCTTTCTAAGTACGTCTATTTTTTCAGTTAGGTTGAAGATTTATTAAAGTTGTATTCAATGTTTTCACTTTAAGCCAAAATCATTAAAGAGATTTAACGATTCTCCTTAATTACTTTAAAAGAAGAAAACCATTTATTAAAACATCAGTTTTTAAATTTATCATTTAATTATTGTAAATCGTGTAATTATTTAAAAAAGTAAAGATATATATTTGAGGGGTCCAGTGCAATACCACTCTACCACACAATATCTTTGAATTTGAGTTACTTATGCTACGCTAATGAAACACTTCTCTTGAGTCCACATTACCAAATAAGCTTGTGGCACCATGATTGCTTGACCACAGCAGGATTTAGAAAATAGACATTCTTCATTCAAAGAAATGTTACCATTTTTATGTGTAATACAGCCCTAATCAATTAGTACTTATTGTTGAAACCAACTGAATTCATCACAAACCTTTAAACAATGTTAGACACTTTTTGAATAATGAAATTCTATTTAAAAGTTATCCTGTTATTAAAAAATATGAGGTATAATGGTTGTTACTCGTGCACTTTTCAACCCTTTAATGGTCTATGAGAAGAATACTTCCCACTTAAAATGGAATTTGATCCCTATACACATAAAGAGAGAGATTAATATTATTAAAACTAAAAAAGATTATGTACTGTTTTCATGAATTTTAACAATATTCATCTTGTTTTTTAAATGAGTACTACTAAAATTCCTTTTTTAATCTAGAATTATGGATACCGTTGAAGCTTTAAACGTGTTTTTCTCAACTAGCTCAGTGTGTGTTAGGACAGTATTGCTGCTGAATTAGTTCTTTTTAAAGACAATAAAATACTTGATAAAAACTGTCATTACTACTTGATCATATAAGTCTATTAGTATATAACACTTCTACAAATTGTTTATTTTTATTTGTTTCACAAGTAGGTTAATTTTTAATTTCTCAACTTACAAAGGAACTTTGAGGAAAGAGAAATTTATGCAATTGTGTTTTGTATATTATAAAGAAATATAATATATTCTTCATATCAACTTTGGAATTAATTTAAGTATTTTTATCTGAGTAATTGTTATTTTACAAAGAGTTAAAATACAAATACATTGTCAAATATTACAAATAATAAATATTGATTTTTTTAAAATAATCATTTGATTATAATCATGATTTATATCAATGATTTTAATTACATGATTTAAATCATATCAACTTTAATTAAAAAGATTGCTATTCACTTGAAAATGATACATTATATTTTCTTACCACTCTTACATGATTTACATGGTCAATGTTATTAAAGTAAAGTTGAGTATTAAACAAGAGTTGGTGACATCCGACATCTGTTTGACACCTTGACTTATGATTTTAATCTAGCATTCCGTTGTTTCCTTGTCCCTACATATTAGTTTTAGAATATTGGCTTAAGATAATATTTATCATGTTATTTGAGAATCCATTTAATTGGATAACAGACAATAATTTGCTTCTAGAGACTATTATTAGCTTTTTCAAAATCTGATGTATATAGGTAGATTGTATTCATGTCTTTTTTCAAATAGTTGTTGTAGAGCAAATGTACAATCTGAGCATGAGTGCACTTTATGGAATCCATTTTGTGTTTCATATTTTATTTAGCCTTCTTGTGAAGATTATAGCATAGACTTTGTATACAGAATTCAGGAGACTAATTCTCTTACAGTCACTCACATGTCCTCACAAGAATATTGAGTGGATAGTTGCCTTCTTCCATTTATCTGAGGTTTTGTAGGTATTCCAACACGCATTTAGTATACACAGGTACCTAAATTAAATCTCAAGGTGCATATTTAAATATTTCTACATTTAGTCGGTCACTTCTCGATCTCCTGTTTTTAAATGAGTGGATTACTTCCTCCAGTTCCTTGTATTTAATTGGGTCTACTCTCCTCTCTAATCGCACATCATGTTCTATTCCATTAATATATCTTTATACATCATACATTCTCTATTTAATTTTTTCACTTCTCTTCTAACTATAGTGCATTTTTGTTGGCTAGCTATTTTGTCTATGTCAGATTGTAACTCTATCATAAATAATATTTTTTCTCATCTTCAATTAGTGTTTCAATTTTGTGATTCCAAATTTTAAATGCTTTCTTCCTTTTGCCTCTGAATATTTTATCTAGTACTTCATTAGCAGCTTTTGTTACGACCATTTTCAAGTCTTCCCATTCATGATTTACATTTTTGATTCAAGTAGTCCAATAAAAGTTTGCTGTATCATTTCCTTATACTGTCTTGTTGTAATAAATTGATTTTGAAATAATCAGGAACTAATAGGGGTTTTTCACACTATTTTTATGATTGTTAATTTTTTTATCCATTTGGTAGAAATATTTATATACTATTACCATAAAGTAATCTGAGAATATGTCAAAAATTCAGTAAACTCCTGTATTGGTTACAAGAGGCGCTAATTTAGAATTTACTAAGTTATAATCAATAATCAATTTTGTGCCTTAGGATACTCGCATATATTTGTGTACCTTGGCGTTTGAAAAACCTGTTTGTGATATAATTCATTACAATGATTACTAATCAACTTTACCATTTTTACCATTTTCATTCAGAGACCTTTTTTTTATTACATCCTATTATTTTTTCAACCGACTGTTCTCAATTTTTGCATTAAAATCTTCTGCCTGATAATGCAGTCTAGTTCACAGAATTCAGATGTTTCTGCAATGTATCATAAAAAGTTATACTTTCTTCAGGCTATAGGAGTGGCTGCATAAAGTGAGAATATAATTGTAATATTTTCCACCTGGCGTGTCTAAGCCTGGTCCAAGTGTCTTCTAAGAAACAAGTAATGTACTTATGTTCAGGAACAATGTCCGGTACTTCAGTGTCCGATTTTTTGTAGCGTTTCCGAGATCTACTGAGCAAATGCTGACATGGCCTCTTATTTTGCTTCTGGACATAAACGTAGCTTCACCTTTTGCTAGTAGTGGTAACAGTAGAGGGGAGTACTATTTTGTTAACAATACAAAAATTTAAAAAAATATGCAGTTTGTTTGTTGATTCAAGTTTGCAATAACTTGAGAGCAAAAATCTTAGATTTCAAAAGTTGCAAACTTTGCATTTTTTGAAAAACTTTATTTATTATTTAACTATTTGTAGTTAAAATGTTGGGAAAGGATTCTGAAACTCAATAAAATGTGCACAGAAGGTAATTCTCCCCCATACATCACATAGAGTTCATTACTGTTCTCTGACTCAATAAATCCAAACTAACCATGGATCTAAACCCGTGGATCTAATTCCCCAGGCTCCAGGGCATCTCTTACTACTTTTTGCACTGGCTTCCAGTCACATTTACCACCCAATCCATATGAAATAAAACCTTACCTCAAGATATCTTGTAGTTGAAGCTCCACTATCCTCAGCAGTTTTTCGTTATGTCCAATGTGTTCATTCTCTTTACCCTGAAGACTACTGTACTGAGCACGATTCAATCTAGATAAAAGTCCACCAAAATTAAATATGAAGAAAACAATGTAATAATTCATAACATTTGACACATGGCCAGTTATTAGTATTCTGTGAAATAATAACTAGCCAGTTGATTGTTAAATTTTACTGCTGCAAAGATTCCAGAATCCTATTCTACTCAATATGCCAGAATCCAAAACTGATCAAAAAGGCTTTGAATTTTAATATATGAAAGAATTTCCTTCATACATTTTTAAAGAATAATTTTGTGGTTCAATAAAATGTACTAAATTTGACAATTTAATTCATGGGATAACTCTTAGCAATAAATCATTTTTATAATTTTATTTTATTTAAGTAGTAGCAAGTAGTTAAAAGTCATGAGCAACCTAACTGCAGGTTTCTAAAAACAGATTTCAATGTACAATAAGATCATACAATTATTACACTTTCCCAGTATTATTACTGAATTATATACCACATTTATCTTTCCCATTACACTATAGTGTTGTTGAAATTACAAATAGTTCTTTACGTTTCAATAAATTTTTAACTTATAACTCACTTAAAAATAAAGGGGGCAAAAGAATAAAATTGGCAAATATACCCCCCCAAAAATTACAATTTTATATTGAAAATTGTAAATGATGTGTAAAAAAAGAAGCTTTTTGCCAGATTTAAGTCAATTTAACTTGAGTACTTCGTACAAATGAAAAATAAATAAATAAAGCATGTGCTTTTAGCTTCTTATATGTATGATTAAATTCTTTAAAATCATTACGCCTGTAAATATTGACTTTAATTATTCTTGCAATTTTCTATAGATGATAAAGATTTTTTGAGAATTTTTTCAGACGTTTGTAACTGATATTGGCCCTTACAATCAACAAAAAAGAAGAGAAAAATAGAAAACAAATACCGTATACCAAAAATAAGAAGAGTCTTTTTACCCGTTTTCAACCTTTAAAAATTGGGGGTCATCTTATCTATGCGTATGATGAAAAATTCGTGTACAAAGAAAAATGCAATATCAACAATATGATGTTGTTACTGGTTAAGTACAAGTTTACTTCACAAAGAAAAGCCATTTGCAATAGAAACACTTTTTTATTATTGGATATGTTTATGAAATAGTCAGTTATTTACGTAACTACTACGGATTGACCGTATAGTAAGGTCACATGAGCAATAAGTAATGAGCATCGTAGTTTAACACGTCTTATATCTTATTCGGAACAGCCAAAGTTTGTCTTTTTGCATAAGATACTGAGTTATACTATGACGCACGTTGCTTATTGCACGTCAACACTACACTCGTGGTAGGGACCTTTAAACTTATGACATCATGAATGCCATCTCGCATATTGTGAATGATCTCAAGAGTAATACTTGTAAGTTTCCCTGAATTCTTACTAAAACATAATGTATGCAACCCTGAAAAACTTCCCTATCACTGAAGCTGCCTGCAGATTATGAACAAAAAATTCAAATACCTAGTAGGAAACAATTTCAAGTTATAGAAAATGCCATCTCATTTTCGGATGTACCCCCCCCCCTCCCCCCCAAGTTTCAAGTTAAAATACAGGGGTTGTCTAAATATAGGGATTTCCTTTCAGTATAAAAACCTTCATCACTACAAAAATGAATACAAATTTTGGAAGGAATATTAATTAGTTCAATGTTTGAAAAGCACAAGAAACAATATTTTTATTTAGTAACAGTTCTCTGAAAAGACATTTCAATTAATTCTATTTCCAGACCTCATTAGCATGTAATGAGTAAGATGGATCATCGAACTTGATTGAGATGATGGTTCTGATATCGATAGAAATTCTGACAGTTACAACAGCAATTTCAGCTTCTTGAATCCTGCTATACTAAAGTAGATGATAATCAATCCAAGCCCTTCAATGTGTTTAATGTAGATGAGATGTGTGTGACATTCATCATAGAAGTGGATGAACGATGTTTTGCATCTGGAGAGGTTAAACTAGACGACGCGAATATTAAATATTACGCCTTACATGGAAATGGTAAATCTGCACATTGTGATATAGAACTAACTGACTTATTTACAAAATCTACTGCCTAAATCACGAACATGATTGACTGCATCACATAGTGACTACTTAACGTATACTTTAACATTACAAATAATATTTAAAATTCTTTGTAATGTTACAAAGGGGTTTGGTTTAATTTTATAACTTATTAATTAATAGTCTTTATGATCTTACTTTATGACAATATGATGTACAAATTTGAATTTCTATTTACTGATAATTTCATAAAACCAAATTATTGAGCTGTGGGAAGTCTACAGTTCCCATACTAATACAAAAATGGCATCAATTTAATAATAATAATAATAATAATAATAATAATAATAATAATAATAATAATAATATTAATCATACTCCTCTGTTCACAGCAAATAGAATTTAATATTTATGGGCCAATAGGGCTACCTGCACAGACTCTCCGAAATCTTACAGAGGGGATTATTCATTCTTGTGAATTGTGAGAACTTATACAAAATTAAATACTTCTTTTTTTCCAGAAAATATTTATAATTTTGCCCTCTGCTGGCTATCAATAGAACTACTCAAAATACAATGCATACAACAACAATATCCAAAAATTTATTTTAACTAATGGGCTTGTTGATGAAGATTGGAGGATTTTAAAAGAGAAACTCCATTTAAATGAATGGCACTTCAGAACCACACAGAAGGCGTTGTTACTGGCAACCACCAATATTGTATGCAAGGTGCTTTCTCTCAGTCATTGAAGAGGAATGTGAGTGCACTGGAGCAAAAACTTCTCACCATACATGATGTTCTGTCCTTGAGTTATATCTGAAAACTCCAGATGAGCGATAAATTTTTAAATACGAGATCCATCTCCACTTATAGCTGCACCTGCCGCAAGTGCTTCCCAGAGAAGCAATTTATTGCTTCCAGAGACCACTGCCGCAGGCAGGCAACGCAGAAGGATGAAGTGGACTATAGAAATAAATACTTTCATCATGCGTGAATACTACACCATTACCAAAATGGAGACTGACACTACAACCTACCGACAAAAGTTACATCAAAGATTTCTTCACAGTTTCCCTGATTCTGAAGTTAGTGAGCAAAGAATAGCGAATCAGCGTCCAGCAATTGTTCAGAAAAATCTCCTCTCTGCACCAGTTTTGGAAGCAATCAAGGAAGAAGTGAGAAACATGCTTAACTCCTCAGAACCTAGTAATCTGAGGGCAGTGGAGATATCAGCTGTGCAAACTCAGGATGACAATGGGACAAGCATATCAGAAAGTATGATGATAAGAGCAGAGAAGAGGTGCAAATTCGCAATGAATTTGCAGTCGCACTTGCGGAATTTGAAGGAACTGATCCACTGAACTGCTATTTCATTCCCAGACAAAATTGCTCAAAGAAATTAGCAAGAGCAATCAGCATCTTGAATGAGAAAGTACTGCCACAACATCTACAACAAAGACCATCTTTCGAAGAAGTACACACAGCAATTTAATGTGCTGTGGTTGTGGCTTCAAGATGTAACGGTACCAAGCTTTTCAGCCACGTAGCAACTGCCCACAATGATCGAAGTGAAAAAAGAATGCCACCTTGGGAAAGACGGCTGGTGAATCTTATAGAAAGCACTAGGAGAGATATTGGGAGACTCTCACAATTTAAAAATGGAAATACCTCAGAAAAACTGAGAAAAAAGGTTAATAACACCCTTATCAATACAAAAATACATACAAAGCACGAGCCCTTGAATTCAACAATAACAGAACATCTTGACACCCTACGACAAAAGCTTTTGACGTTAACAAAACGCCTTCGACGCTACAGGAATTGCACTACGAGGAAGCAACAGAATTCTCTTTAACAGAAACCAGAAAGCATTCTACAGGAATATGTCAAAGGGCAAAGGGCTTGTAAATGATATGAAAGAGTCAAAGCTTCCCTCAAAGGCACAAATAGAGGACTTTTGGAAGCCTATCTGGTCATCTGCTGTGTCCCACAACATCTGATGTTGTTATTGTTATTATTGTTGTTGTTGTTCTTCTTCTTTTTCTTCTTATCATTATTATTAGAACACTCACACCAAAAACCCTAGTAGAAATTAGAGATATTGGCGAGACTGTTTCAGTAAATGACGTAGCGGCTGCAATCGGGAAGATCCTAGACACACCGACCGAACAAATAAGCAACTCTAGCATAAAATGAAGATAGGATGGATCAGCTACCAGATGCGTGAGAAGCAACAAATAACAAGATGCTTCAAATGCATAGACTTTGAACACATATCCACCAACTGCTCGGGCCCTGACCGTAGAAATACATGCTACAAGTGCGGAGAAACAGGGCATCAGATAAAAGACTGCAGCAAGACATCCAAATGTGTCATCTGCAAGGATAAAAATCTAAATGATGGCCACATGCTAGGAAGCAGAAAATGCTCCTCATACAAAGCCGAAATCAACAAGCAAAGTAAGCGACTAAATAAAGTTCCTACAAGTTAATCTAAGAAGGAGAGAAAATCGCACAAGATCTACTTGTACAAGTTGCAACTGAAAGAAACGTGGACATGACGATTGTTAGCGAACAACCGACAAAAACACGTAGTATGACATGTAGTATAAGGATGCTACTGGAAGAGCCGGCATAATAATGCATAATAAGATTGCTGAGTATCAGAAACCACAAGAGAACGCAATACAGGTTTCTATGGCTGGAAGTGGGTAATATGAGAATTTATAGCTGCTATTTTTCACCGAATGATACGCTAGAAAAATTACAGAAAGATATCAATGAGCTGGAGGGTAGCTTGAAAACGCATAAGCGCGAGGTATTAGTGGCAGGCGATTTCAACGGTAAGTCGTCTGAACAGGGAGAGACGCGCTCCGATAGAAGAGGAACTATCATATGTGAATTCATTGCAAGAAATGATCTGATCATCTTAAATACAGGGGACGAGTACACTTTTCAACATGAAGCTGCATCATCTATTTTGGATTTGACAATAAGCCCCACCAAGCTAGCTAAAGGCACCACTGATTGGTCAGTGCTCGACGAAGAAACCCTGAGTGACCATCGGTACATATGGCATTCGACTTCATTAACGGAGGGGCTGTAACATGTCATAACGCGATATAAAGGAATACCACCTTGGAATCCCAAAAAATTGAATGAAGACTAGGCAAAACGTTCCTTGGAAGAATCCAGGTTGCTGGTTAACATGGGTTGGACGAAAGAGGCGGAAACGCTTGATATGGTCAAGGCAATGGAGGAAATAGTGGTAGCAGCTTGCGACGCATCCATGTCTAGACGTATATGTCGAAGAGGAAACCGCAAATGTATTGGTGAACACCGGAAACAGCTGAACTACGAAGGAACTGAAACAAGAAGAATCGCGACAAGGGCCAAGACGAATCTGCATCCCAGGGAACAATATAAAGAACTGTCCAAACGGCTTAAAAGAGAAATAAAAGGAAGTAAAGGTAGATGCTGGAAAGAGCTCTTAGAACAGATAGATAACAACCCATGGGACATGGCTTATAAAATAGTAAATAATAAATTCAGGATGGACTGGGAGATACCTGGATTGAATGATCCACAATGGTTTAGGAGAGTTATCAGGGACCACTTTCCCACTAGAGATTCCTGGACGAGACAGCGACTTCACGGTTGACGCAGAGGATTACTTCACGATAGAGGAATTGAGTAGAGCAGGGAAACTCCTCCAAAAGGGCAACAAGCCGGTAGATCAGACGTCATCATACAGACCACTGTGCCTCCTTGACACCGTGGGCAAGCTGCTTGAGGGCTACTCACTAGGCTTGATGGACTTATGATTTTCTCACAGGCAATATGGATTCCGGAGAGGCCGCTCGGCGACGGATGCCATCCTGGAAGTAATCGATAAATTAGACGCAGCCAGAAGAGGAGTCGGCAAGGAGAAGGGATTTTGCATGCTCGTGGCAATTGACATTAGAAACGCCTTCAACTCCGCTAGGTGGAAGGACATTATTGAAGTGTTAGTTAACAAGATGATTCCGGAATATCTCATAAGGATTATTGAAGACTACCTCCATGATAGGACGATAACTTATGTAGACAGTATTAGGACAGAAGAGAATGTGACGTGCAGTGTTCCTGAAGGGTCGAGACGTGGGCCATTTTTATGGAATGTCCTGTATGATGACATTCTAAGCATTGACCAGCCGAAAGATACACAGCTCATAGGCTATGCTGACGATACGCTTATAAGTCACAGCATTGACATTGAACTCGAATTGAGAATGAACGAAGCGCTGTTTAGGGTTAGAAGATGGTTAGACAGACGACAGCTACAGATGGCAGTGCAAAAACCCGAAGTTGTCTTAATCACCGACCGGAGGGCCTTTCACTACCTTGCAGACCTCTGATTGGGAGGGGAGAGAGTCAACTGGAAACGACAGATAAGATATTTAGGAGTCAAAATAGACCATAGACTCAGCGTCGGGCCCCACATAAATGTGATGGCAGAGAAGGCGGCGAGGACAGGAGCTAACATCGCAAGAATGCTACCGAACGTCGGTAGACCGAGAGAAACCAAGAGAAGAATGATATCTGGCATAGTTCACTCACAGTTGTGTTGCTCCAGTCTGGGCGCGTCCGCTAGAGAAGCTATCAGACACAAGTACGCCCAAGAACAAAGACGAATGACCTTGAGGGTGGCGTGTGCCTACCACACAGTGTCTACTTGCGCAGTGCTGATATGAGCCAGCACACCATCTATTGACTTAAGGTGGAATGGGACATGGAAGGTTTTCGACATACCCATTTAAGGAACTGGAAAGAAAGGATGTACCTAGCCGTGAAGGAAGCACAATCAGTCCTCTCCCTCCCAAGCAAATTAAGAGTTTTAAAGAAGAAGCAAGGAAGTTGCTCCTTGAAGAATGGCAAGGAAGATGGGATGGAGATGTGAAAGGCAGATGGACTCCTTGATTGATTACAAACATCAAGAGATGGGTTAGCTGAAGTTTTGGGGAGGTGAGTTATTACCTGTCCCAGGCACTTATGGGACATGGGGGATTTAATAAATACTTCTACGATTTCAGGATCATAGAGAGGCCCACATGTAGTCTCTGTCACGCAGACATAGATGATGTGGAACACACACTATTTCAGAGCAAGGCATGGGACACGGAATGAGAGGTTTGTAATGTCAACCTCCAACAAGTTATAAATCCAGACAACATGTTCGACATGATGCTGAGCTTGCAGGAGAAATGGAAAACCATAGAGAACTTCCTAGTTAGTATTATGGAGAGGAAAGAATTAAGTCAGAGGAAGTGGAGCATCTGCTAGCAGCCAATCTTCTGTGTGAAGAAGTGTCTAACGACGGTTTCCAGGTGGGAGAGAATACGGTTTAAGAGATGGAGGTTAGGCTTTTAGGCAGTAACCTAGTTGGGAGTCTGACATCACCAGCTTCACTGTTATCCATAAAGAATTTTCCTCCTCCTTAAAAAAATAATAAAAATAACAATAATAAAAATAACAATAATAATAATAATAATAATAATAATAATAATAATCATAATAATACTTTACATGAGATCTCTCTCTTACAATTTCAAATTAACCTCCTTTCGCACCTCAACATGTCTGCGGCACAAGATATCCGATTACTACCCAAGTTTGCAAGAATCTCCCCAGCAGTTCATACCTCACAGCTCAATTGTTCCTCGATGCAGAGTAATGTTCAAAAACCAGTTTCTTCTTCATGCACTACACTCCTCCTTTCCTAACCAACCGTCATGTTTTCTTGATTGCCCGATTGTCTATCAATACCCTTACTCTTTGGTCTCTAATCGTATCTTAAATTTTAATGCTTTTAACCACCATCTCGTATATTTAAGTGTCCATTCTTCAATTATATTAAGCCACTTTCCCTCGTCATATTAAAATTTATTAATCTATTATCATTTCCTTTTTCTAAACTTATTTTGTCAATGACTGGGTTGACATCCATTGTCGCCCATCAAGGCACATATTTACCAATACTTCTTTCATAATTACAATTTACTAAAGCCATTGAATAGCCTGTCACAGTAACATGGCACAAGTTTGTTTATAAACTCCTAGAGTTTATAAACTATGTAATTTTCTTTTAGTTAAAATCTTAATTCATTCAATATTCAAATTACAATAGGTTACAATATTATTCTTACAATTTTGTCATAAATAGAAAACAGAAAAGCTATCAAAATCTTTAAAAATAAATAAATAAAAAACTATTAATTTAGTTTTCAATTTCAGTTTTATTTATATTGAGCTGTCAGATGTAAATGGTAAGATAAAAGGTTAAAATTTGAGAAAACTAGAGAATTCACAGGGCTACAATTCATATTTAGTCCCTTTTATGATCTGCATCAGAACATGAGATATTCTTAACAAACAAAGGAAAACAATCTTTGTTTTACTGTTTCTTTCTCCCCTTTTTTAAATTTGTACTTTTATTTTTATTTAAGGGTCAGAATCGGATATAATCTCTTCAAAAAAAATTCACAAAACATCATTGTAAAGACAATGTAAGTCAATATTCATAGGTATAATGTGGATAAAAATTTAAACTTGTATAAGCAGCTAAAAAACAACTTTTTTCATTTGTATGAAGTACTCAAATAAAACTGATATAAATCTGATGAAAAAACTCTTGTTTTGTTTCTTTAACACGTCAATTACGATTTTCGAAATAATTTTTTTTACTCCTATTTATGTATCTTATTCTGCTACCCCCGTTTAAACGTTTTTCAGCAAATACACAAATTCAATTTACACTCTTCACTTTTGCATTTAAGACAAATAAATTAAACACAATAATATTTGAATAATGAAAATAACATTGAAAGAGAAGTTGACATTTCAGCTTTTACTTTCAATAGAGTGCAGGTGAATGCACACGTATGTAAAACACACACCCACACTTTGAAACGTTTGTATCTTATACCTAGGCTTCACAATTACTAGCTGCATCAACATATCTGATTCTGCATCATAATTATTAACAGCAACACTTGATTCTCTGTTTTCTTGCAGCTCCCCACATGTGCTTCCTCCAATCTGAAATATTAAAACTTAATAATGAACTGTACAAACATTAAAAATTAATCATTGTTGATTTATCCATTAATTTATTTTCTGAAGGTTAATGGTTATAAAGATTAACACGAGTTTTATATTTTCATTATTCTTTCTGTTTCAACTGTGCGAGTTTGCTCATCTTCATATCTATTAAGTTACATTACATTTTTTGATAGTTATTACCATGCCATTGTATAATAAATACATACAATTTCATGAGTTTAAGTTTTTTTCTACATTAATTACAAGAATTCACAAAAACAACCACTTACTTACCTTATGTATGTTATCTATACATATCAACAATTTTATTGAGAACAATTACACTGCATTAGTAGAGATAGCCCTATTCCATGTGCTCCCTCTGCTCCAAGCACAGGCCAAAAAATGCGTAAGCGTCCTCAAATTTGAACAATCAATGAAAGAGTTATCTCTATCACGACATCTACCGTCAGGCCACAAATGCGGTTAAAGCTTCTCAAGTTAGGAGGAGGAACTGCTGTGCTGGGACGGAACAGTTATTAAGTCAGCAATCAATTAATATCTTAAATGTTTGTCCCATTTTCAGAGCAGCTTGATATTGTAATAAATTTTAGTGATGTTGGTGCATTCAGTCATAGTATTCATTGGGTCCTTCAATTTTATGCTAAAGCACTCTGATAATATTGAAATCAATGTTGTGAGATAGGTCAATTCTGTGTTTAGTAATGGAGTTTCTTTCTTTCTGTTATTTTTTCTATACTGTTTAGATGTTCTTTAATTCTAGTTTTTACATTTCTTTTTATCTGTACTATGTATTTTAATTCACAATCTATGCAGCCAATCTCATAAGCAACATTAGCCTATCTGTTGAATGCAATCTCTCTTTGTGATTTTTAATTATAAACTTGTTTTACATTTTTTGTATACATATGTATATATGCAGTAGAGAGAAAGTTAAGTAACATTGCAAAAAATCAATTTCGAGATTTAAACGTAAATACACGTTTTCGGGTCCCCTGATACCGAAAGAGTGTTTTGTTTTTTCCCTTTTTTTCTTCTTTTTTTAAATGTCTGTCCGTCCACCCCTCTGTGAACACCGCCAGTGCCTAACCAGTGTAAAGCATATGTAGGATTTTTTCCAAAATGGATATTCCTCAGTAGATCTACCTTCACTCCAGGTGCTTCGATTTTGAAAACCTTTCTTTAAATGTTGGGGGTACTTTAAATGAAGCCCCGTTTTTACATTTTCATTTTCAAAATTTTTTTAGAAATGGCTCCAAATTTGTTTCTTAAATTTCTTGTAAAAATAAAGTTAAGTGCACTTATAAAGGCGGCATAAGTCTGATTTTCAGGTTAACTCTGAATTTTCGAATATTGCAAAGGTTTCAATTTTTTCCAGCACCTTCCTACAACTACAAAATTGAAGATAGACATTTTTCCTTCAAATGAAATTTGTTGTACATATTTTGTTCTTTCGTTAAGGTCATCTACATTTTTTAAAATGTTTTATAGTTTCTCATAGTATCACGTGCAATGTCTACAATTAAAAAAAAAAAATAAAATAAAATAAAATAAACAAGTTATTCTCAAAAACATGCACCCTGGCACACAGCCAAGAAGTCACTTCAGGAAGGTAGAGCGAAATAACGTGCAACCTCGCCATTATTATAGACAATCCTTAGTGACACACACGTTCTTATCTTTTTTTGTGAAAACTTACACAACCCATCTTAGTTGTGGAGTACTGTGGAGTTGAATGTTGAAGTTCAATAAGAAAGTATATTTATTGTAAAAAGGAAATTAGCCTGTCTTGGATTGTATTTTGACTTGAAGGAAGGGGGTCCCAAGATGAATTGACAGACATGTAAACTTCTTTATTTTATTTCACGAGCGTGACTCATGAAATGAAACAAAGAAGCGTGACTCATGAATGAAACGTATTTTTACCTTGAAATAAAACAATTTCAAGGTAAAAATAAGTACTTTTACCATTGACGCATTACTTTTGTTGTATGTAAGGGAAATACACTTTGTCTAAGCAGAGGTATAATATTTTGTAAAACAGGATTAACACGCTATAACAGAGGATTTTGTAAAAACAAATCATATGTTGCCTAAGAAAAGAAGAGATAAATTTTGTGTTTTTGAAAAACTACAGACGGACGGAAGGGACGGACTTTTGAAAAACAACATTTTCGATATCAGGGGACCCTGAAACGTGTATTTCCGTTGAAATGTCGAAATCGATTTTCCGCAGCATTACATAACTTTTCCTATACTACGTATATTACTCTATATAAGCATACAGATACAGGGAAAGCAAATAGCAAATGGAGTATTAGATTTTCAATCGGCCCTTTTTTACCTGTCCCCCATTGGCCTGATGTGTCAATCCTTGTAAGGCCAGAAAATCTAGAAAAGTTTTCATCTGAATCTGATGTGGAAGTGAATGAAAATTGAGACAAGTGATAGTAACAACCTACCAGGATCGTCTAAGCTTTAAGATGTGCTTTAAGATGAACGATTGAAATGACTTAAGGAATCTAGCCCTTTTTAAAGAGTTAGCTGAGTTGTTGGGTTCTAGACCACAACATGAAGGAAAAAATCTGCATTGTCCAAAAACATCATTTTACTGGTTCAGACAAAGCAAAATAGAATTTAAATGATTTTTCTTCGAAGATGGCTACCTCTTATTGTAGCAATTTTGTGAAAGAACTTATTCTAAAACTTGGACTTCCAAACTATGATCCAAGTGAGTTGAACTGTTCATTGATGCTTCCAAAAAAGTTTAACTGGTGTTTTCCTTCATAATGGCAACAGTTCTAGTTCAATGCCTGTTGAATGATCATCAAAGAATCATAAGCAAATTTGCACCTGATGTTATTGCGAGCGAACTACTGTAAATATAACCAGCAAGTTTTGTTTTGTGGTTTTATAGATCTTACTGTACTAATGGGTCAACAACTGGTTTTCATACTTTCTTTCCCTGTGGGATAGGAGGGCACGAGTTGATCACTGGACTAAGAAAGACTGGCCAGCTCGAGATAGTTTGGATGTTGGTTCTAAGAATGTTGTGTGCCAAAGCCTTGCGAGTCCTTGTAAAGTTTTGCTGCCTCCTTTACACATTAAGCTTGGCTTAATGAAACAATTTGTAAAGGCTTTAAATGAAAAAGGAGAATGTTTCAAGTATCTATGAAAGAAATTCCCAAGAGTATCTGGAGTACAATTAAAAGAATATATATTTAATGGTACTGATATAAGAAAATTGATGTCAGATGAAGCATTTAAAAACACTCAAGATGAAAAGGAGAAAGCAGCTTGGATATCTTTCTGTGAAGTTGTTTTAAAATTTCTTGGTAACAAGGATCCCAATTACCGAACCATTGTGACTAACATGTTTGAATTTTACAAGGAACACATGGTTGTAACATGAGTATAAAAATGCATTTCCTTCTTTCCTCATCTACATTATTTTCCCAAAAATCTAGGATTTTTGAGTGAAGAACAAGATGAACAATTTCACAAGGACGTGCGAAAGGAAGGTACCAAGGACAGTGGAGAATCAGTATGCTTGCAGACTATTATTGGATGGTAAACCGTGAAATAGGTAAATGACGACAAACAAAAGAAAAAGGAAAGGAGAACTTTCTCAAGTAAAAATCAACAGGTGTAAAATTTGTGTAAAACTTTTCGTTAGTGAAGTAAACAAGATGAAATAAAGTAAAAACATTCTAGTGACATATATTAACAACCATATACATTAATTTAAGCAAGTTGTGTACTCTAAATGTTTTTTCTTTAAAATAAAAAAGTATTATGAAAACATTTTAGATGAAACTCATGTAATTATCACAATCACATGTAAAGTGATTACCCAATAAAACCTCACATGACTGAAGTAAATGGTTTGAAAATTCAGATTCAGCACGTCAACGTTACATAAAATCACATTTCTTACTTTGGGCAAGAAACAAAACTTGAAATTGACAGGCTAGTGTAATAATTAATAAATGTACACCACCTCTTCACCACAGCCTGTGTATATTTGATTTTTTTTATTATTACTAGGTTTAGTGACAATTTGGTATTTATTCCTATCTTTAAAGTAATTTTCAACCTTGTCGGTGTATTCATTTTTGTAAATGGCAACTGCAGGCCCTTCTTTGTCACAGTTCATTACTATTATGTCATCATGATCTCTTAAAACATTTTGTTCTTTTTGATTTTCATAACAATATTTCATCATGTTTACCCAATTTTGTAGTTACATACATTACTAACATAATTTACTAAATCAACGTTTTTTCTGAATACATTCTGATTATCAGGATTGATCTTGTATACCTTATACTCCATATTTTTTATGGTATTAAGCACAAGTTTTGTTTAGATAAATAAATAGAGATATTGTCAGGTATCAATATTTTAATTCCACTAATGATCATTTCGGATCGCGTAGCGATCACCTCAGAGCTTGCAGCTCTCGAGCGCACACACACAGTTGTTTGAACTTTGTTTTCGGCCAGAAGCTGCACAGCTCTGAGGCAATGATCGTACGCGATCGAAATGATGAAGATCGCGATGAATCGCTACGCACACGGCGATGAAATGCATGGCAAGTTGTTTGAACTTCTGTTTTCGCCCAGAAGTGCAAGCTCTGAGGATGATCCGCTACGCAGATCGACAATGATCATTAGATCGGAAATTAAAAATCACTACGATACACTGACATATCTCTATTTATTTATCAAAATAAAAAAAGGTATCTACTTCACCAACAATCCAATTAATTAATAAGTTTTGTTTAGTCTGTTTGCTTGAGATTGCCTTAAATTACTGGTATACGTTACTAGTAATACAAAATTAAATTAAAATACTTTTCTTATCTTACCCAGTTACAGGTTGTCTTCACGTGTTGTGTAACAAGCTCCACAAATCCATTCAGATCTTTTTCAGAAAATGGAAAGTCCTATCAGAATCATAGAAACATAAAAAAATAATATGAAGGTCAGAACTCCGTATTTCATAAGTTCTTTAAATAAAAGAACAAAATTTTTTAATCATAAAAAGGTAATACAAACCTTTGTTCCGAAAGTGAAAAAAAGAATAAGAAAATATATAATAAAAACATGGTTAATTTTATGTTAACATAAAAAGTTTAACAAGGGGGTAATGTTAGACTGGTTTCACATTTCATTAAATTTTGTTAACACTTTTGGTACTTTACTAGCTCTTAGGGCCCGACTGAATAGGGCTTTCTTAAACCATATGTAACAATTTTATTTCAATCTTACGCAGGTTGTGTCAAGCAGGATTACAGTGCTTCAAAGTATTCAGCCAAATTTATTACACCAATTCAAAATTTATCCAAGTACTGACTTGGAGTCAGAATGATCATTACTGCACAATAAATATTCATTTCAGAAGGATCAGAAGAAAAAAAAAGAAAAAAAAAAGTATGACAACTCTTTAATATTAACATTTAAATTTACACTGAGTCACAGTCTAACATGAAATTAAAACAGCTTCATACTACTGGCTGTTGGGTTTTGATAATTTCACTTGTTTCGATTTTAATCACAATTTAAAAGTAATGATTTTTTTTAATACTATCTTTGTACAAAAAGATAAAAAAGACATAATCATGATTTTTAGAAACCTTGACTGCCTGGCTATAATTAGAAAAATATAAATTGTAATAATCTTAAACAGGTGTAAAAACACTTTAAAGATTATTCACTCACAAAAACACTTTGCCCACATTGAAATTGTTTTTCATTTACTTACATAATCTTCATTGCTGTTTATTGAATTCAATTCCTGAAAGAGTAGTTGTAACTCTAACCAATTCTGTCTCCATTTATCTTCCCCTTTTCTGATATGAGCCTTTACCTCAACAGCACCTAATTTCTCTTTAAGTTCTTTTTGTGTCTTAATCAGTGCACCACGTTGTTGTCTACAAAGAAACAAAACATACATCAGTGCATATAAAACATATTAATGAAATCTACTAAAACAAATCTTTCGCCAAGACTGAATTGAAGAAAATGAAGACAAAAGCAGGTGCATGAATACGTATTGAATGGTTTCATGGACATTAACACATTTTTTTAAAATTTGAAACTATTGATACCTTATAAAGGGAGAGAAGTAGTGCTAAAGGAATCTCGCATAATTAATTAATAATAATAACAAATATCACATTTGAAACAAATAAATAAAACTTTTTAAAATTCTTAAAATTAAATTTCATTGTAATACTTTTAGAAGTACAGGATACATTACACTGAAATTTACTTCTACCAAAGTTGGGTGACAGATTTAGGCAGTAACTTTGTTTGAAAACTATTATGATTTTATTAATTCTCAGCTTTTTAAAAAGAACGTGGACTCTCTATATTTAACGAAAACATCTTGCTTTCATTGAAAGAGAAATATATCTTAATAAATTTAGCAACCTATTTTTTTATGATTCTCAAGCAAATACCTAACCCTATATTGGTAACGCTGTCATCTGCAAGCATCTTAGATTGTTGATATTCTTAGATATGATAAGAGTTTAGGCAAGTTTTACAGTAGCTTCTTCCCTGTTGATCGATTTCTAGTCACACGAACTGCTATGGTCATTAGTCCCATAAGAGTAGTGCATGTTCCCTAATGGAAGGTGTCTGTAATCTTTCCCCACTAAGCTCCAGACATGAGGCAGTATAGAGGTGAGGATAGGACAAGGAAGTGGAAGAAATGATTGTGTGCGTCCCGTGGCCTGTTTTCGAGGGTACAACTTCAACATTGCTCGTTTCTCATCGAAGAAATCACAGACAACTATTGATCGGAACAGCCAGCCCCTAGAATTCTCCTCCACACAGTGGCTGAATTCAATCTAGCTTTCTGGCTTGAGTAAAAAGTCCTGCCACGATCAGAACTTGAACCCAAGTGCCTCCTGACCAGGAGCACTGCAGTGCCCCACGATCAGAACTTGAACCCAAGTGCCTCCTGACCAGGAGCACTGCAGTGCCCATCAATTTATGCACTGTATCTCCTAAGCAGGTGCTTCTTTCCGGACTTCTTAGAATTAACTATCATAACGTGTCTATTTTGCACTTTTGTTTAGTTTCAATATATTTGTATCCACGATACAGTGCAACTGTCTATTCATATATAAAAACATTCCGATTCATGTATTATTGATGATTGGCAAATGAAGAGCATCTGAAAAAACAAGCACCTCACTAAACATAATGGAAACTGTATAAGCTTGGGACCCTTTTCATATTTTAATTTTTTTCTCTCTTGTTTTGGATGTAAAATTGTTGATGTTCATCTCTTTGGAATGCTACACATTTGAGCATATTTGTGAGTAATAATATTTTTTACAAACATTCAACAAGGTTCTTTTTGAGATAATCTGTTTATGTACAGTGTATCCCTAGGTACATCATACTGATGTACCTGAAAACCATGTATTCTTGAAGAGAATAGCACAAGAACATTTGTTGAACAAACGAGACTCTAACGTAGATTATAATAAATAAATATCAAGTAAAAGAAAAAATAATTTTTTGCTGCCTTTAAGAACAACCATAGTTCTGGAGGTAATGTTCTGACATTTTTCAACTTCATAAGATATAATAACAGCATTTATTAAACAGAAAGGACTTCAATCTAGATTAAAACTTGTAAAGAAAATATGAAAAACAAATGTTTGCAGCCTTTGAAAGCAATCAACCACAGATGGGTAAGGGGTCATAACTTTTATGTCCTCCATGGCAACTTCATATGCTGCAGAACTTTCCTCAATTTTGAAAGAGTGTATCATTATATAAGCATTTTTTAAATATTTCACATTAACGTTTTCAGATTCATCCTTTCCTATACCTGAACTATTGCTGAAAAATAAATTGACATTACAATCTTTGACAACAATGAAAAATTAATTTATTCTGCTGGTCGTTGAGGCCTTTTGTTGCTTCTTTTGATTCGTGACAAAGCCAGATTACATCCTGAAACCAATTTAATTCAATTTAATATTACATTTATGTACCTGGACGTCCCTAGGTACATCATCTATCAACAATTTGCAATTATGAACGAACATGGCTTCTGTGAATTGTAGGTTACCTGTAAGAACGAAGTATAAACCTTGAATTAACCACATTCTATGCTAGTAAGTGGAGGTCTACTTCAAATTTTGTAAAATAATAGTAGTTATAACAAAATAAATAAAAGAAAAATGCAGAAATTATTACTTTTCACTCGTCTAATCTATTAAACTCATAAAATCCTGAAAACAGTTCACACTACACAATCATTCACTTGAATAATCGAAAATGGCAATAGCAATGTACAGAAAATAACAATCCAAAATTTCTCTCACAGACTTCTTGAAAACTTGCTTTGTCCCTAGGTATGACAGTTTCCCCAACAATGTTCCCTATCACTGTGCAGCGATACACAAAAAGAACAAGACTGATCAAGTACTCAGGGACTCAATTTGAGAAATATATTTTTAAAACACATCATTGTGATTTGTTCTACACTGACTGCTTAGACACACCAGGTCTTTTTCTTAACTCGCAACCCGAACATGTCTGGAAGCACTTGTTCTTGTATGGCAATTTGGCAACCATGTGCATTTGACTCCTTTCAAGACAACTGTGGCTGGCAAGTATAGACAGCATCAGGGGAGATGAGTTGCGACAACTTTTTCTCTTTAAGCAGGCAGATAGGCAGCTCACACAGTGGGCAGACACAGGAATCTGCGCAGGGTGAGGTGGAGTGGGGTGGGCAGAGGCAGGAGCGATCAAACAAAATGTCTCTTTAGACGATTCTTTCCAGGATGCTGAAGAAACAAAAATATAATAATGATGTGGGAGGATGTTATGACAGATTTATCGATTTACTAACAGCAACATAACAATCTTTATTATTTTTAAAAAGTCGGCTCAGACAGAAATTAAAAAGATATCTTGTGAAACTTTACCGCCAAGCTCTTCATTATTTATAACAATAATAATATAATATTAGTATTATGGAATCTGCAAATCATACAAATAAGAAAATCTTAATAAAATTATTAAATATATGAATAAAATAAAAATTAATAGTGAATTAATAATTATTGGAAATAATTAATAAAAAATAATTAAAAATAATTTCCTTAAGATGACAATATACTAGTGGTGCAGTGCAGAGATGCCATACTTGGCAAAATTACTCCAAGTGGGTCGAAGTGTGGTGACCATGGAATCCAATACATAGCTTATGAAGCAACGTGTTTCAGAATTCATATATCCAATGATTGTCTCCAATTAAAGTATGTGAGGGAAAAGAGAGAGAGAGAGAGAGGGGAGAGAGAGAGAGAGGGGAGAGAGAGAGAGAGAGAGAGAGAGAGAGAGAGAGAGAGAGAGAAAACAACAACAACAAACAACAGTCCACCTTTATTTTACATATTATAATTAAAAGAAAAATAAAAGTCTGCAACACAGCACATTTATCCAACAAGATAAATTTTATAAATCTTAGAAATTAAAATGATCTCTAGGCCCTGAAAGAAATGCTCAAATGAATAAATATTCCAAATTAATCATCTGGATATTACTTCTGGAATTAATCAATTAATAAATAATTACCATTTCATTAATTAAATCAATTAATGAACTATTAATTACCTGGATATACTATCACCTAAATATGCAGTTTCTAGGTGGTGTTTCTTGCATTCTACAGTTGTACGATATCTTAAACTAGACATCATTATAATTTTATGAATGATGGCCTAAATATCACAGATCTTTAAACATGATTTGTATCCGATATGAACAATGAAAACCATTATACAATCGGTAGAGTTTATGAACTCATACATCAAAACCCTGAGAATACACATTGTAGAACAAGTAAGGTAAAAGAGCAAGAAAACAAAAATAGTCTTAATATTAGCATTTTCAATAGAAAATTATAATTAATATTAAATTCGTTATTTTTCATAATATTCATTCAATTTTCCTCGTTGCCCTTAGTTGACGTGAAACCTGTATATTTTTCATTAGTTTCAACCAGAAGTAATGCAAAAACTACTCGTTTTTTCAAAAATTGTACATGACAATTGGACCTTTTTGAGAGCTGATTTTATACAACAGACTGACTTTTTCAATTTTTAAGAAAACCAAGCAATATTCGAAAATGGGATTGGCATATTTTGTACCGTCTGTTATTACGTATGTAGAGAAAATTTAATGAAAATATTTGTAGCAATTTTTAAGAATTTTTTTTTCGTAAATTTCAATCACATATTATGCAAAAACTACTCATTTTTTCAAAAAGATGTACATGACCTTATTTAAAGAGTTAATTTTGTACAACAGTCTTCAAGGGGCATAAATTCTCTCTCAAATTTTGTAATTAATTTTTTTAATTAAAAAAAAAAAAAAAACTAACAATTCCTGGAAACGGGACTGACACAAAATTTTTTACGATCTCTTATTACTTAATCGAAGAATATTTTTTAAAAAAATTCTGTTTTTGAGAGATTATCATGAATTTCAATAGCAAATAATGCAAAGACAACTCTGGAAAAAAAGTACATGATGTTTTTTAAGACCTAATTTTATACAACAGACATTGACACAAAAATCTCTACTTCCAATTTTGAAGTTTTAATTTTCCCCCCCAATTTTCAAAAATCAGGGAAGTCAACAAAATTGAGACCTGCATCATTCTTTTCAACCTGTCTGGTCAAGATTTGCATGCACTATTCAACATCTAGTTTTTTGATTAAATTTTGGAGCCAATGGTTTGAAAATTTTGAAAATATTCCAGGGGCTTTATGTACAGTAATTCCCAAAATTAAAATTTCGTTTTCAAATTCTGGGGTCTGTGGCATCAACCTTAAGAATTGGGAATTTTGGAGAAAATTGACTGAATAGTTTATGCGCTAGCATTGTGAAGAGAGATGGAAAGACTGACAGATATTTTGTCGTCAACCGATTTTTTGGTATCAAGGACGCACAAAAGATGGATTGTGGCTACACCATGTGTTAGAGGATTTTTTTTATGTTTAGAAAAAGGACTTATCCTTATTGATTCCTTACCAGGGCCAGACAATAAGAGTTTATGTATCAAAAATGCCCCTGTTTTGCAGCGCACAATTACAATACTTTCTCTTCTTACATTAGTAAGTGCAAGAAAGTAAAATGACCTTTGAGTAAAAAATGCCCAAAGTTACCACCATTTGCCAAGAGACAAGCGTTCACTCTTTCCAATGTAGTGTCTGCAATACATTGAAAAGTAACAAATTGCTCTCTCTTTCTCCAACTAAAATTCCGTCAATGCGTTTGTCAATCCGAAATCTGAGGGAATACGGCTGGGGGCTCTTAAAGTGAAAGGGATGTCAAAGGTATTCCTGGTGATGCCAAATTGCCAAAACAAGAGGTGCTGTTTCCAGATGGGTTGCAACATAAAATAAAACCCTGTTTGTATAAATAATAATCACAAGAGCAGTATAAAGGAGGTCATTTAAAGAAAGGAGCATTTTGGTGGAGTTTCATTTAAAGAAAGGAGTTTTAACAACTCCACCAAGATATCCTCTCTTCTGAGAAATACTATATGACTATTGGTGTTTGTTTAACGGTTACAACCAATGCATATTCCTCAAAGTAAAAGGAAAAAACGTATTTATTTAAGATTGTACTTTTTAATTCAATTTAAAATTCAAAGGCTAATATCTAGAATGTACAATAACATTAACATTTTTCCAAAACAATGTGAAATTACCTTAGATGATCAACTGAGTTATCCCACACATAAGATTCTAGAGATCTCAACTTCTTCTGAAGATTTTCAATAGCTGTTTCATCAATATCCAAGACATCTTCATTTATGCCATTTTCTTGCATTGTTTTTGCAACATCCCCATCTTCTAATCCAACAGCTTCTGCATATTCCAAACTAAACCAAAATAACATTAGGTCATACCATATTAAATATTAAAATAAATACATCAAAATATTTGTTAAGAAAATTCAGTCAATAAATAACACAGACAATATTCAAAAGGATCAGGGATCAAGCTTGCATAACCAGACATGGACACAAATAGAACTCTACAAACAGGATGACAAGGCTCAATTAGGAACCAATTCTTTTGAGTAGTATTTTTTGTTCATTAATACACACTGCTCAGTGCAGTGCATAATTTTAAATTAACACAATGCAAAATCCAGGGCTGAAGTTGGCAATACTAAGGGATATATATTGAATATACCTAAGTGGTTCTCGCAGTCAAGAGTATTTTTATTATGAAAATCATTATTTTTTTTATGAAAAGACACCTAACGTGCACATCTTAAAGATATTCCACTAGATAGTGTTAATTAACATGCTTACAAGTAAAAAAAGCTGGGATTTATCATTTTTACCAATGACATGAACAAAGTTTTCACTGAGAATTGAGAATTTTAAAGGCAAGTACAACAAGATGATTTGATAAATTCAACAATTTCATAATTTGTCTTAATAAACTATTTAAACTTACAGCCAATAAAAAGAAACATGCACAGCCCTAGAGTAAAGAACACAAAGAGATATTTTCTCCTCCACAGACTAATAGCACAGTGCAACTAATTTAAACTTAGTGTCTTGCTGCAAGATGAAAGTATGTGTTCTTTATTAATCACATACTCTGATTGCGAAAACAAAGTCAAAAATGTTCCATCACATACCAATTTTTCTAGAAAAGATATTTCATATATACTACTTCCGAGAAACTTGGCAAAGACTCATTAACAATACAGGAGGAATCTGTAGTGTATTAATCTACAGATCATGTAACAAAAAATATTTGAATTACAAAAATTGTTTATATTAAATTATTTGTATAATTAATTGTTTGTATTACAAAACAGAATTGTTGCACTTTGTAGTCATAGAGGCTCCACAATTACACCAAATCCTTTCACCCTATTTAAAATCAACAAGTACACCAATTAAATTTATTGAAATTGCTTTTGCACCTTACCATAATGGGATCAGAAGTTTGATATTTATCTTATTGTCAATAGGGTCTGTGACAAATGGTAGGCAAATTTTTAATAGAACCTGCCAAGTGTAACAAACTTTACACATGAACTACATTTGTTCAGAGCTAAGTGTTGCTTGCAACATTGTACAAACAAAATGAACCAATATAAAAAATATACCACTGCTGCTGTAATGATTTTTAGGAAGACATCTATTCAAGTTGCTTGATTATACTGTAGATTGTGAGAAAAAAGAAGTTTGAAAATTGGAGATGTTTTTGGAGCAATGAATACTTTTTATTCCATTTTCAAAATTTAATTTATGGTATGGTGGCTCCCATGTGAAAAATGTACTACTTTGTTAATTATTTTACGTTAACATGGATGACCCTTTTTCCTGAGAAAACCAATCGCCATCACTATCCAACAATGTTATTATTGGTAAAGCTGACAATTCATAAATATGAAGTTGATAATTGGGTATGTTGCATTTTGTAGAAAGAAACAGGAATATTACTGCTAGCAATTTAAGAAAGAATTATTGCAAAATAACTACAAATCTTAAAGTCTCAAAATGGGAGATTCAACAAGACTGGTTTTCAAACAAGGAAAACTTCAGGATGAAAGGCCAGATGGCCAATTCCTGATTAAGCAGTAGACCTGAAATACTTCAGCCTTCCAGATGTTCCTGCATGATACACTTCTTTCTTGGCATTCCTATATCTCTATATCCAAGTGGCTTATATTTTAGGGCAGCCTTTGGGAATCTTCCTTCCATCATTCTTTTAATATGTTCCAGCCATTTTTTTTGGTTCTTTTAACTTCTGTTATGTTTGTTGTCTTGTTTGTGTTTGCCTTTTCCTTATTTCTCTGTCTCTCTAGTCTAGTGTAGCCACGGAGGTGTCTTAGGAACCTCATTTGAGCTGCTTCCAGTCTTTGGTTATCTCTTTGTTTAAGGATTTAGGTTTCTGAACCATACAATAACATTGGTTTGGCTGTCATGTTGTGTATTCTTAATTTGGTTCCTTGAGCCATGTCCTTCCCAAAGTGTCTTTTAATTATATTCAATTATATTTAAAAATTTTGTGTCGGAGGTCCTGGGAGTTTATTCCAATACCATTGCCTAAATACTTGAATGTTGATACTTACTCTATTCTCCTTCAATGACTATTGCTTCCTTCCACTTATGCATACACTCCAACTAAGTCATTTTCTTTTTATGTTGAGTTTTATGGATATTATTCTTAGAGAAATGAACCTGTAATTTCCAATATTATATTTCCATGAACTTTTCGTGATTATTGCAACACCATCAGTTGCTCTGTCTTCTCTTTTCACTCCTGAAAATATTAGGCGTTTCTTTAGCTCTTGAGCCCTATTTCCTTTCTTTTTCATTTCTGATGGTACAGCTATATCTGTTTTTTTCTATTAGTTCCATTTCCAAGTTTTCTTCTTAGTTTGATAGTCCTCTTACATTCCATTTTTCAATTTTCAGTATTTTATGCTTTTCTTAGGGATTTTTAGTGATTATGATTTCTGGACTGATCTCTCATTTTGGGTATTATGTCTTCTGTATTTTTGAAAATGAAATGGTTGCATTATAACTACTTGTTGCCAAAAGTCAGGTTGTTCAATTGTGTCTAGTTCCTCAAATTTGATTCCTATTTTAAAAGCTTTATTAACATTAAATTTTGTCTCAATTTCTGTGTAAAATATTTTCCACTTATTCCATTGTTGCATAGATTTTTTTTATATCTTCTTCCCTAGTTTGTTGTGCAAATCTTCCCACAAACATCCAGGCATTCTTTTGACCAACTTGTATCTGATATTGGATTTTCTGTGCCAATTATTTCTTTGATGTTTGGATCTTTCCTTCTCTATGACATTTATCTTATCAATGTGTATTAACAGTTTATTCTGTTTTTCTTGTACTTTCTCGGTTGAATTGTTAGGGGTTTCAGTGTTCAATTTCGGTGTGTTGGAGACTGTAGTTGAAGGTTCAGTCTCTCTCTTGTCTTGTACCAGTTTTTGATTCAATATTGCTTTTCTATTAGGGTATTTTCTGCTTTTATTTGGGATGTTGTTTTTTGGATGGCATTGGCTTTTCTGATCTTTCTGTTTGTCATTAATTTCTAGATGAATATTTCGTGATTCATTGAGACATAATTTCATTGTGTCTTTTAGTTTGTGTTATAATTTGCTTAGTTTCTATTTTCAGATGCATCATTGCCTCCGCAGCTCATGGATTAGTTTTTTGCATCGTCACCGTAGCATTTTTTTAAGCTTGATAATTTGATTTGCATTTCGTAAATAACCATATTAATATGAGATGTTTCATGAAGTATATTCACTTCACCATTCATTAGTTCGGTGCACTTTACATCCAACACTTGTTCACATTCTTCACCCAATCTTATTAAATTTTCGTCAATTATTTAACTTTCGAGCATAAATGTAGCTTCGCACATTATACAAGTTTTCTAGAGCTCAATGTGGAATACAGTTATTTAAGTTGTTGTTCTTCCTTGTCTCCTAAAAATATGTCGATTCCTTCGTAAGAGAATAGTAAGTGTTATCACTTAGCCAAAATCTGTAGCTGATTTGCCTTTGTAAATAATTTTTGTTACAGAGAATAAATATTTTCTTAAGAATTCTTAAAACAATTCTCATTACTAGAGACCGGAAAAATATTTAGGATTAAGTGTGACACATATGACATAAATACCTCGAAAAATATGGGAAATAGAATAATATATCAAAAAATGAGTTATGAAAACAGTACGAATACATAATAAGTGTAAAATTGGACATAATATGCAATATTAAAATGTCTAATTAAAAAATGATTTACATAATACAAAATTACATTTTAAAAACTATTTGGAGAGCACAAGTTGATGCATGCTTTGCATCATACAACTTTTTCATCAGTAATAAACGCTTCATCTATTATATTCCAGAACTGTAGTTTAGCAGCCAGAATATTCGCAATAGAAGCAATCATACAAACTTTCGCTATCTAAGATCAGGAAACAATCACTGCAGCATGCAACATTTTCAGCAAAGTGTTACACGTTAGCGATCACAAATTTTTCTCGGAAATTAAGGTTACAGGTCACAAAAAACAATGTCATTGATACTTTTCACATCTAGATTTTACCAATAGTGTAAGAAAAAATGCTGGCATTTTCTTAAAATACATTTTTACATAAAATAATTGTAATAAAAAACATGGAAAGGTTTCACTTCTTCCCAGGGCATATCACACAGTTTTCAACCGATTTTTGTTTTTTTGTAAGTGGCCTCTATCTCCGAACAGAGGCATTACATGAGCAGATAAGAAATTAAGCTCCCTTTGTGACTGTCTAACAAAGAGTTGGAGAAAAAATATAAGAAGACAGTTTTATACTACTAATTAAAGCAATGTTGAAAAGCTTATATTTCGTGTTATAGTATTTCTGCTAAGTGCCATGTAGCAATTTGTAATAAAAAGCTCCTTTGGAAAATTTCTAGGAAGATCCAGTTTTCCTTTCCGGCCAACAGACTTCAAAGCTAGGTGCCTTAACCCTAGCAATATCAAGAAATAAATGGTCCTATGCATTAGCAGGGGGAGGGAGTAGGTTCTACAGCTTAAATTTTGATTTTATTCAAATAATGGGCAACTTTTCTCTAATTAATACAATGGAACATCTTTTAATACGAATGTTCACTCATTTAAACAATAACATTTCATTTTCACGTTTTACAATACATGAAGAAATGTTTTTGCAACAATATTTGTATTTAATACAATTGACAACCTTTGACATCTTCATGTCAAGTAATGGTCAAACATCCAAAAACAACAGTAAACAATGCAGCACACATCTAGTAACAACTAAACTTCTAACACACACTTGTGAAAAATAGCATCATACTATTTTGAACAAAAAGACATCATTAAAAATATAATTGATTTTCAGATACCAAAAAAAATTGAAACTAAATAAAAACTATAATTAGTACGTCTCCTCCCTGGTAATTCTAGAGTTAACCTGCATTCCATTAGATATTTGTCAAAACATTCTTATGAGTTACTATCATAATAAACTGATTTTCATAAGTTTAAGAAGAGAAAAAACAAGTGTGATTACTATTACGCTATGAGCACCTTTACCACTTCCATCGTGGTTGGCGACTTGTATCAAACTTTCAAATCCAGTTATCTCAAAATTAATTTAAAAATCAAGAAAACAACATACCATTCCACTTCTTCGCGTGTCAAAATGTTTCCAGAATCTATATTTGATAATACATCTAGCAAGAGATGAAATTCGTCACAATTTTCGTAATCACCTGGGCTAAACCCCAATAATTCTAAATTTCTCTTTAGTTCCGCATTCATTCTATATAGTCAACTAGTTAAAAAGCTACTCTGACAACTTGTCACATTAAGGAAACCCGCCAACTGCAAGCCGGGAGAGCAGAGAGCAAAGAGAATGGCACAGTACGATTTATTTCGTAGGGCACTTGACGTAAAACAATTGTAGGGATTTCATCCAATTGTTAGGTTTTATGCCGCTACAGAGACATCTCTATAGAACGTTGAAGCTCCCGATTGGATAAAATTGTGAACAGCTGGTTTAAGTCAAGTTTGTGCCATGTGCGCACTCCAGTATGTTTATGCTCTTTGATCTATCTTCAATGGTTTGTGCATGCCATAGCGGGCAGCAATAGACTGCAGAATCCCTGCGCATGCGCCAAATCGAACTCGAAGTGTTGATCAGAGAGAATTACTATTTTGTGGTGTTGATGGCCCATTTCGTTGGAGTAGGGAATGTATTACTTGCGCAACTTTTCTTATACGATGACCCCCCTCTGGCACAATAAAAAGATGAAGGCAAAAGCTCGCAGCGAGCACTGATGACAATATTCCAAACACATCTTCACTGGCGCGAAGTAGAAACAATTTTATTTTGAAGACGAGAACTTCTATCGGTTATTTTCTCAAAAAATCTAAAGAAATAACCGAAGCAGGTACGAATCTATCACAGGAGATACTTCGAACTCCTGATAAAGTTAGAACTAGTGTTGGCAACGAGTGATTGGATGAATCAACCAGAATCAACGATTGTTTCCTGCCTTTTCAACCGTTGGAATCGTTTGCCCAACGATTACTGCTGTAGTTCGCCGGTCTCTACTCGAATATACAGCGTTAATGTGACAATGTTTTTGCAAGTGTTTAGTCGTCATAATAAAGCAGGTTATACTTTGGATTTGCCGCATAAAAAATACTATCCGAGAGCAAAGAGTATATATGGTCCGAGAGTTCCTTTTCACTTTTCAGTGTAATTTGATGTTAAACTCGACAGCGAAGTTAAATTAGCCATAAAACTATTGCGTTGATTTGGAAGGTGTCTGCCTATATTGTACGACTTTTTTTGTTGCGGTTAAATATTCAGTTTATAGTTAACTTTTCGTCACGGAAACTGATTTTACATTCTAATTTTTCTAAATGCAGATTTTTTCGTTATAAGAGTAAATCATTAAATATAGGGCTTCCCAGATGTTTAGAAGTGCTTTGGTAATACGTGAACATTGTTACACCTTTAGAAAAATAAACAATTAAAAAGAGATACTAGTTTTAGTGAATGAAGTGCAAAGCGGTATACGTTGGAACTGCTAAAAGAACTGTTCCATTTTAAGGTAATAAATATAATATTCTTTCATAATAAAATGTTCATATTGTCAAGTTCTGTAGGATTGCATTAAAATAATTCAAACTCATATAATTCAGAGTAGGCATACATCTTTTAAATTTTTATTAAAGGGAAATTAACATTCTGAAATTCCGATATAATTCATACTGAATTTTGTTGCTGTTTGATACATTCTCACAACATAATTTCCTAATAAAAATAACAAATTTCCAGAACTTAAGGGCAGTGACTAGTTTCCAATTAGTGAAACAAAATGTATCTTATGCAGTTTAATATTTATTTGTTTACTTTTCTTTTTTGTTTAGAAAATTCTATTGTTAGAGAAAGAAAGTAGTGTTAGTAAAGAACATCTTCTCCAAATAAAGATAACCAAAATATTCTTTCTTTGCAAGATTTCTTTAACATATTCAATGGGGCCTGAAAAAATAATTTCTTTGCTGTACGGAAAACTTAAAGCAAAAATATTCTTATGCACTAAGCAGTAGAGAATAAACAAACTGCTTGACCATGTTATGTAAATGTTAACTTGCGCTCTATGAAGCAAACATTTGCATAATAACGTGTTTTCATATTAATTTTTTTACATTGCAAAGATTATACTTGATTACAATATTTATTATAGCTTCGAAAAATTACAGTGAATAATAATAATAATAATAATAATAACAACAACCCCGTGTGGTGTCGGGGATTTTAGTAGAATAGCACCACAGGTCCTCCCCTGGTCGTAGAAGGCGACTAATGGGAAGCAGCTGTCCGCCGTACTTCCCAAAAGTCGCATTCCCACAAACTCTGTGTGGTATTGCTTCCACTTACTTGTGACAGCAGTCTGTGTTCTGTCGTAGGCAATCTTGTATCGGCCACACTTTGTGTTCGCCGATCGCATTAGTTTGCGAGGGCTAGGATCGTTTCATTCGCGCTACCTTTCCTAGTCTAACTCCTGTTCTTCTCGTCACGCTTGTTCCATTCGATTTCCTTAAGCTTGCGGTGCTCAGGAAAGGCTAGGGAGGTGACTGAGAAAAAACCTAAGATTGTGAGATCTGTCAGATCGAAGTTACGGTGGCAGGGATCGGAGCCCAGTACCGGGCGGTCGGTTGGGCAAGCAGGCCACGGGCGTCGGTCACCACGATGCAATGCCAAGTGGGCGGATCATCGGCACCCATGGCAATTAGGTGCTACGAGTGATAGCAAGCTGTCGCCGGGATGGTATGGATAGTCTGCGCAGAATAGGGTTTGAGGGAAACCCTTGAAAAACCCTCGTCCAGAAAAAACCCAAGTTCAATGCCAAAGAATAAAGTTGGAAAATCAACAATATTGATTTGACCTGTTAAGAACAACGCTAGCAGTACTAAAAGTACGCTTAAGTTAAAAAGAACTGAAGGAAATTTCGATAAACGGTGAGCCCGTGTAAAAGAGAGTAGTAAGTTAGGCACCGCGCTGAATCTGCCGGTAAAGACAATAACAGGAACAAATTCATCGGACCTCTTGGTAGAAACAGTTTAATGGACAGACAATTGTAAGAAAAATTTACTAGAGTGAATTGAAGAAAATAGGCACTATAGATTTGAAGTAATGTGCTCACGCACACTGAATTAACCTGCAAAGGTGTTGTAGTTGTGCAAGTGAACTTAGCTAAAAGGTGCAGTGAAAGGAATAGTTCAAGAAATAGCTTCTCAACGAGTCATACGCTGTCGTAGGCTAACAATGAGTGCCTGGCGTGGACATATAATTCTTCAGCGTCCAATTGCCTGACGTGCAAAGCGTTGTACGTTACAGAGAAGATTAAAGCAGGCAATTCATCGTCTAACCGTACGAATGTCATGCCTCAACCAATGCAGGTTTTCAATGTAGATTGGTACACCACAGCATCTAGAGTGCGAGAATGAAAGTATGTATTGTGGTATCCTTTCAGTAGTGATGATCCATGCTAGACTCCTAGAAACGCAGCATTAATTGCATGTGGACAGACATTCATTCGAGGTCAAGGAGAACTGCCCTATATATAAGCAGGAGGCTGCATTGCAACAAGTTAAGTAGCAGACAAAGATCAGCTATACTGAAGCAAAAGAAAGTTGTGGTGCTGAAGAATGAAGGTAATATTAATACGTTGGGAAAGCAGTTTAAAACAGGCGGACAATTTGCTTCATTTATAGTAATAAGAACTAATGCTGCAAATAACGATGCAAAGCAGAAAAGTACTTCAACGGAAATCCACAAGAATTAAAATCAACACAGAAAACTTAACCCTCAAACGACTCAAAGCGAAATAGTAAATGGAAAAGAATCTGTCAATGCCCTCACAAATGAGGAGAAAGTATCAGTAGCTGCGCCTGCAAACGCATACCCATCAAGAAGTACGACAATCAAGCTATCGAAGTCGAGGTGCCTCGTTCCGTCTATAGAAACAAGGACAGACTTGCCTCAAACATAAAAATGAAATCGTGACGCACGTGATCAATACAGCAAACCACTGGCTCTATCTAGTGTCGATGGTAAGTGCTGAAAATTAATGATTACCAATCATTCGATTATGGCAAAGACTCCGCGTAGAAGAGAAAGAAGAAAGGATGCAAAGTGAAACTCAATGAAATATAGAACAAGATCTACGTATTATACAGCATAAAAACGCCATTTCCAACCAGGAAAATTATAAGCAGTGGAATAAAAGGCTGTATTGCTCGCATTACTGGTGAGCTGAAATTTGCTCTGGCCAGATCACCACCAATGTGTGTGTGCTTTACAAGAACTTCTCCATTTTAAACGAAGATCGTTTCAATTTAGAGGATAAAACTTTCCGCAGTGACGTAGAAACTGCGAATAGACGAGGCTAGAGGTTGTGGTTGCCTACTATGATTGCAGCAATACTCATCCTGCTAGTTCGTTGATCTCTGACACACCCTACGAAGCAGTAGCTGTTAACCCTACACAGCATTGAGATGACGGCTCACAGTTGCATAACTTGAGCCGATGCGTCGATGGCGGAAATGAAGATCTACAAGACTGAATCGAGTCAACTACAGATCCATTTCGTAATTCTAGGCGACTGCAATTGCTCACTGAGTACGACATGGGGCTGTTCTATGGGATCAAAGGACTGCCGGTGCGAATCGATGGACCTGCTACTTATACATAGATAGTACTTTTAAACAAGGACAAAGGCACTCATTTTATTGGCTAGAAATGGCCTCATTCTAGGCCATGCTGAATCTCGTCAATAGTAGTGCCAAATGCTTGAACTCGCTGCGTGGACACAATTGGCCAGATCTGCCATAGGAGTGATCACTTCTCTCTCTGTTGATATTCAAACATGCCAGAGAACAGCAGTCAACACTTACGCCAAAACGTTTGGTGTCGCAACGCTGCAGGACGTGGCCACAAGCTTACCAGGAGCATACTAGGCACCAATAATATTGCTTTAGTTGGGAACTCAGAGGAAGACGGTACCTGATTGCACGAACATGTTTTTAGCTTCGCTGTAGAAATAGCAATTCCACAGACTAGTGGTGCTCATCTAGCTTCCAGTACATGGTGGAATAGCGGAGAAAAGAAGGCATACTAAGGAGAAGAAGAATATCGTCTTCGAAAGAGTAAGACGTGCAGCCAACCAAGACAATCTTATTGCTTTCAAGCGTCTGCGTTGCGCTCGCTCGCAGAAAAATAGCTAAACACGCAAACGATCAAGCTGGTGTTAAAGAAGTAGGTAACAAGGCATAATACTCGACGCCAATAGTCAGAATATGGCAGATAGAATCCGCTCCAGGTGAATGAGCTGGGAAAAGGATGTTGTCAGTCAATAAGCGAATGCATTGAACACGAAGAACACTAATATGCAACCCTG